ACTCCAGGGCCAGGGCGAAGAGCCAATCCGAACCTCGTGCGCAGAAGAAGTGCGTTGGGTTTGAAGGTTAAGTTAAGGGAGTTTGGCATAAGGTTGCCACCAAGAGTGTCGCTTACTGCTGTCGTGGCGATTGAAGCAGCAGCTATGCATGCAGACATCGCTAGCTAGCAGCTGGCAAAGTGCCTGGTACCCCCAAAGCCATGCTGTGTAGTCGCAGTGGGCTTCGGTCGCTGGAAAAGCATATTTTGGTGTGCTCCTAAACCCTAAACCCTAAACCCTAAACCCTAAACCCTAAACCCTAAACCCTAAACCCTAAACCCTAAACCCGTGTCACTGAGCATTTGCTGGGCGGCTCGTCACAGCCACTGGAGAGCACTTTGACATTTCCCAGGAAAGATTGCGAACCTCAGCGTCACGATCGGAGCGGAGTCGCCGAATGGAAACATCCACGAGCCTTGGAGCAAAGTTACCTCAAGAATTGACACCTGCGCCCCTCTTCCCATAGTGCCCATTCTTTCTGAGGTTGGCAGCTTGTCAATGCTTGTCATTCGTGTTGTTGAGAAGAGGCATCAGAAGCCAGTAGAACTCGCTAGGGCAGTTGCCTCCTCAACCCTAAACCCTAAACCCTAAACCCTAAACCCTAAACCCTAAACCCTAAACCCTAAGCTCAGGACTTTAACGGCAATATGACTGTGCAGGGCAAGGCGGCACCCTGGCTGCGTGGTTTGAGCGCTCATCTGATGGATGGAGTGATCTGGTCCGGCGCTCTTGAGGGAGCTTGCATAAACTTGGACCATCAGGACCCCCGAAGCGCGCGCACACAAGCAAACACACACACACACACACACACACACACACACAAGCAAATGGTGCAGCACATTGCGGCACGGCACAGTACCTCCTTCATTCCCACCACAACCCTTAAAGGGGCCCCTTACAGCAGCCGACTCGTCCGAGCACTGCTCTTCCGACGTGCATTCGAAGCCTGTGCATGTCAATGAAGCCCCGACGTGCCCCACGGTTTCTGATTTGGGGGTTTACGGTATCAGGGGTACCTTATGGGGGTCCTTATTATAAGGGAATCCTACTATTTGCGGGTCGACATTAGGGGTCCCTTAGCATCGTAGACCCCGATTTGAGTTTGCCCAGGTCTCGCTTGGCCCACAGCAGCTGCTGATGCGCGGGACGGTGTTGAGGCCGGGTTGAGATTGTGTGGAGGATGTGTGGGCCATTGGGGACCCACCTCGGGCCTGGTGCTTCGGCCCTGCTGGCGCTGGTAAGTGGCATCCTAGCAAGGCCGAAGCTCCTTGCTTCCAAAGCTCACAGCAACCACGGGCCGTCAGTATGTCTGGCTTCTGCGCAGGAACACGAAGTGCTGCCTGGGCGCCTTGTCTTTCGCAGGGCTTGCAAGCTGAAGTAGCTCAGGTGCTGTTCAAGCCCTCAGCTGGCGCTGGCACAGTGCTGTAGGGTTGAGGGTTGAGGGTTGAGGGTTTAGGGTTTAGGGTTTAGGGTTTAGGGTTCAGAGCACCAGTGGCATGCCATTGGCTTCTAAGGGCTGAACTGTCATTGCTCCTCTTGGAAGTAGGGCTGGAAGTTTGGGATGTTCCCCCTTTTTCTAGCAGTCCTTAGGAGTAGAATAGGACGCACAATCATCCCTAAATTAAGGATTGTTAGTCTAAGGGGGAACACTCCAAGTTGGAAGCGTATAGAATTCAAGCCGCCCTTTGGCGCCAAGGAGTTGTGATCTACACCGGTCCAGACACCAGGAGTGGGTTTAGGGTTTTGGGGTTTAGGGTTTAGGGTTTAGGGTTCAGGGTTTGGGGTTTGGGGTTTAGAGTGTATGGGGGTTTCCGAAGTGCGGCTACCTTACTGGGTTCTTTAATATAAGGGAATCCTCCTATTTGGGGGGTCTATCCTTTGTGGCAGTCTTGCCCTGGCCTTGCAGCCTTCTTCCCGTGGCAAAGCCTACTTTGCTATCGAGAGATGGGAGTCTGACGACCTTCCTTAGGGTTTGGCGTTTAGGGTTTAGGGTTCAGGGTTTGAGGTTTAAAGGGTTTAGGGTTTAGGGTTGCGCACCAGGATGGTCCGCAATTCACGGCCACCGCCGATGAAGCAGTCCAACCTGGAGGCCCAGAAATGCGGGTTGCGACGCTTGGAGTGCTGTGTAGAGACGCAAGGCTTCGTCGGGGGGAGACTTTTCATATTGATGCTTTGCAGTGTTTCAACTTGGTATTGCGGCAGCCCCGATGGTGACGGTAAGGATGAGCACGATGATGATGATGATGATGATGATGATGATGATGTTGATCGTTGTCCATGTTCTTGCCATTTCACCCTGGCGAAGAACCATTTTGCCGCTTCATACCAATCTGTTTGGCCCTTGAATGGTCACGGCATACTTCTGGTCAGATCGGGGATTGGTCTGGAATGAGGGAGTCGAGGGAATCAGGGTTCACGCTGGATTCTTCAGGGTCCTTGGCCCTAAAAGTATTTTAAGCAAGACACACACACACACACACTCCCTCCCGCTCTCTCACTCTTGAGCCGAGTTGCGTTGCGCCGAATCCCTTAGACACAAGTGCATGCTTGCTATCTGAAGGTTTGCAGACGTGTTAAGGGTGCCTCGGAGGTGACTACGAACCAGTCCATGAAGTACATTCTGCATCTCGGACCTGCTGGTTGCCAGGGCAGCTACAATGCTGAGTACACGGATGTTGCATATTTGTCGATTCCAGGACTATAAGGCCTTCAGTCCACCCTACTGCTTCCAGCCGCCCAGAGCTTTGATAGATGTTAAATGATGTTAAGCCGTTCCTTTGGCTCCAAGCCCTACTCTGTTGGGCACATGTTGCCACATATTGGCACATGTTGGCGCTCGCAGCCAAGCCCTCAAAATTGCCCAGCACCTATGGGCAGCAATGGGGTTTAGGGTTTAGGGTTTAGGGTTTAGGGTTTAGGGTTTAGGGTCCTGAAACATTTGTGGATTGGGACTTTGGGGCGTAGGCCTTGCAGGGTTTATGTGCTCAAGATGTAGGACAGCTACCGTGCGCACAGCAAAGCAGAGTGCATGTTTTCCGGATAGCCAAGGTGCATTCAGGCCATCATCGCGCTGACCAGCGCAGTGTCCCACGTCCTGTACAAGCCGAGGCACCACTGGTACCTGGAAGAGGAGCACACCACCCTGCCCCCGGCTTCAAGACAGACGTTTTCCGGAAGTCGAATGAATTGACCGGAGTAGTGAACAGCACTGCTGCTGACATGGTTCGGCATGGGTACGCTGCGTCGACACCATAGCCCAAAAGACAAAACCCTAAGACCCTAAGACATCCCAACCTAAAGCCCCCGAAGCCAAAGCACTAAGCCAGAAAGCCTGCCAACGCCAAGCATATGGGGGTTTCCGAAGTTAGGGGTACCTTATTGGGGCCCTTATTTACGGAATCCTACTAACCCTAAACCCTAAACCCTATTTTAGGGGTCCCCTATTTTCGTAAACCTCCATATGACGCCGCACCCAGGCCCGAGTTGCTGGCATGGTGGCTGACCTTCTTCACGCTGCCCAAGCAAAGAGGGTTTAGGGTTTAGGGTTTAGGGTTTAGGGTTTAGGGTTTAGGGTTTAGGGCTACAGGAGCTTCAGGTGTTTCAGGGCTTCAGGCATGGGTCCTCAGATGCTTGTGATCATTTTGTTTCTTAATCAGGTCTCTTCGGCTTGGGTCAAAACACAGCCTGAAGTCTGAGGGCATCATGGTTCGATAACTCAGCTTAATGGCTTGTAGGCGGGCCGTGCGCACTTCAACGGACGTCATTCGCAGCTCCTTAGCCAGAACTCCCTGGAAACAACACCGGACCTTGGCCAAAGCCCTACAGGAAAACAAAGCAGGTTCCCTTACAAGCCCTTCGATCTCTGGCCCCGTCCGTTTCCTCTATTTTTGTCGCCCTTGTCACAATTTTAATAGGCTTGTGGTAACAGTGGGTACGTTGAGGTGAGGGTTTGTGTCTGGAGACCTAATTTGGTGTCGTGTTGGGCATCCGCTTCCCGTGACCATCAGAAAGAGCCCTTCTGTCATTCCCTACAAACATCCAAAGCTATCCTTTGGCAACACCTGACATCAGCTGATCGATGCTTAAAATAGGCTTGTAAAACGTCGAGGCTGCAAGGTGTTTTCTTTGGCAATTATTGAAACTGCTCCACCCCAGAGAACTGGGCCACAGCGTCCGAGCAGTCGGATGCCCAGGCTGTACTCCAATCTGATGCCAATTTCGCTTTACCCCACCGTGGAGTTCTGCAATGTCTTTCAGCACTCCGGCTCAACAGGATGCGTTTGGGATGGTCCCCCTACGGTCATCCTTAATCAGGACTGTTGGAAGTACAGCACCCCCTATCATCATCCCTAGTAAGGACTGTTAGCATAAGGGTTTAGGGTTTAGGGTTTAGGGTTTAGGGTTTAGGGTACCATGGATGTTGAAGATTCGTGAGCGTGAGCTTTTGTGTTCGGTCGGGGGACCTTTGTTCCCTCTTCCCATACCGTTGCTTTGGGGACCCACAGGCCGTTCCTTTTCCTTCTTATCGACTTTGCCAGCTGTACCCTCACTACCAGCATGGGCTATTGTACGCTATAACCCCTTAAAAAGGCCCTTTATAGGGTTGATTATGGGGATTATAGGCCCTAATAGCCCATCCTGGTAAGTACCCGATCCTTTGTGGGCGCTTGCCCTCCCTGTAGCCGAGGCTGAGGTCTGTGCGAGCGGATATCCCAAAATTCGCGAATGATGGTTCAATCTTCTTTGGCCTGGCATTACACCGTAATTTGCAATCTTCGTTCATCGTGAATGTTGCTGGAATGCTCCGCTCGTATTGTTCAACACGCTCTCCCTCTCTCCCCCTCTCATCAGGGGTGGCGGGGTGTGGGGGTGTCACCTCTAGCCCCACCTATTTTGAGGACTGTTCCGGGGGAGAGTTGGGCGGGGATGGAAAATAGTCTGCGGTGAGTACGTTTAGCTACATGCCGTGCTGTCTGTCCGCGTCCATTTTCAGGTGCCGGTCCATCCAGCAAGACAAGAAGATGATGCTTGGCAATGAGGGAATTTTGGGGTTTGCGCTTCAGCCTCCCAGTGCCAACCCACGCAAAGTGAAGTTCTGCACTTACTTTCGGAGCTTAAGGTTAAGGTTGTTTAGGGGTTTAGGGGTTTTAGGGGTTTTAGCGATTCTAGGGGTTTTAGGGGCTTTAGGGGTTTTAGGGGCTTTAGGGGTTCTAGGGGTTCTAGGGGTTCTAGGGGTTCTAGGGGCTCTAGGGGCTTTGTGGGTTTAGGGTCGGAGCACGATCGCAGGGCGAAGTAGTACGGCGCCATGGCATGCAGGATGTACGAGGCAGAGGGCTTCAACGATGGCAAGGTCTTCGCGGCAACCACGCGGAGTTCAAACCTGTGCCAAGAGCTGGGGCAGGCTGGGTTTAGGGTTTAGGGTTTAGGGTTCAGGGTTTAGGGTTTAGGGTTTAGGGTTTAGGGTTTAGAGTTTAGGGTTTAGGGTTTAGGGTTCAGGGTCCAGGGTTTAGGGTTTAGGGTTTAGGGTCCAGGGTTCAGGGTTCAGGGTTTAGGGTTTAGGGTTTAAGCTGGGGCTTGAGTTTGTGAGTCCGAAGGTCCCAGTGATGCCGCGTTGGCACGTTCGCAGGGTTCGGAAAGGTGCTAAGGTCGTTTGGGTCGCTGCCTTTTCGTGGTGTTTGGGTCCGTTGACTGCTAGGAACTTGAGTGGAACCTGTGGTGTCCACGGGTCAGCACTCAACACTCGAACAGTTTGTGAGGCTTGCGCACATGGCATGTACATGCTGGGCTACCACGATCTAGCATATGTTGAAGGGGCGGTGTTGTTGTCTCGGGAGCTTGGGGTTGAGGATGTATGGGTTTGTCCTTTTTTCAGGTTACTGTAGGAGGCTGAGTTCTTTTGCGGTAGTACTCGCTCGTTCGCTCTATTGATTTTGTAGTGCTGCTTCAAGCTGGTAATTACTCGTTGTCGCTCTGTTTCGAACTCAGATCTGTCGACGCGGACCACTGTCACCACATGTCACCATCCAGAGCTGAGACTTGCGATTCTGAATAGCCTCCCACTTGCCCTAAACCCTAAACCCTAAACTCTAAACCCTAAACCCTAATCCCTAATCCCTAAACCCTAAACCCTAAACCCTAAACCCTAAACCCTAAACCCTAAACCCAATGCAGCCTCGGCTGCAAAGTCTGAACCCTGGAGCACTGTTTGCCTTGCGGAGCCCTCTGCGGTTGTCAGAGGTCGGGTACATTTTCTCGGACAAGACAGGCGGGGTCTGCACTACATTGGGACTTAACCCCAGAGAGCCCAATGCCCCTTATTTAAGGAAAATAGCTCAGGTTATAAAGGGATCCTTATTATGATTTAAGGAATATTCCTTAACTAAGGGGTATTGGGCTCTTTGGGAGACTGGTCTACTGGACTGAACCTGAGGTACAGATCCTAGAGCTTCAAAACGGTCAAAGCCCTGCAATTCCGAAGTCAGTGATGCTTGGGGTCATGTCGACTCTTTAGTTACTTGGCTTCATGAGTCTTAGTATCGCGGAATCTCCCTGCACCGGGCATTCGTGAGGTTCCTTCTTTCTCTAATTTCTGTGGTTCACAAGCTAATGATTCATGAAGTGAAATGACATTGGAGAACAAAGAATACCCAGTAATAACAGTCGTAAGTTGCATCTTTATCTCGGTGTTTAATTCACTTGTTTTGTTGGAAGAACTTTGCCACGATCTCTTGTTCAACTGTGTGAGTCCTAACAAAACGGCAGTATTTAGAGACCCCCCCCGGTGCGAGTCTATGAGCTCGTGGTGCCCAACCAGCAACAGCCCTTACACTGCGCAGGGACGCTGACGCAAAACGACATGGCACTGAGGCCCCGATACTGGAACTGCGTAGGTTGCGGGAGCTCAAGTCTCGACAAGGGATTGATGTCCAAGAGCTCACAAGCCTAATTAAATGACTTCAGATTTCCTGAGTTTGCAGTTTGCGTCTGCGGAAGTTCTGGGGCAGTTTCATCAATCAAATCCTCGAAGTTCAATTTAAGCCCTGCACTGCACTCCCCCATGCCCTACTCTGCAGTAAACCGAAGCTTCAGCCCGAGTAAACTCCTGAAAGTCTTTCAGGGGGATCCGGATCGCAGCACCCTCGCAGTCTATGCCAGGAGAGTGTCCATCAGTGGGCAAAGATTTGGCACCTTCCAGAACACGAAGGTGCAGGGGGTTCAGGGGAAGCAGTCGAATACATTGTGCTGTTCAAATGTGGTGAAGTGACAGCAGTTTTGCTGCACTGCCGACAAGCCAGTGGCCACCCTTGCAACACTGCTGTGCCTTTTAGAACCATGAACCGAAACTCTTTTTTCAGTTTCCGGCCGAAAGTGGCACGTCCATCTCTTGAGATGTACGCCTTTGCATGTAGCATCTCGCTTGACCAAGGCCCGACCACTCAGATATGGGGGGTCTACGAAAATAGGGGGCCCATAAAATAGACCCCCAGCTAGCACGATTCCCTTAAAAAAAAGTACCCCAAAAAGGCACAGCTAATTTCGGAATCCCCATATATCAACAAGTGCGTCAGGGGTAGGAGACGAATCGGAGAGAAGTTGTCAAGAAATGAATTAGTTACATGGCGCTGAAGCATACACCCCCCCCCCCCAGAAGATGCGAGTACGGCGCGCTTCGATTCAGAAAGTGTTCTGAAAAACTTCCTGAAAGACAAGGCAGCGTTGAGACGAAAAGTAGCCGTTTTTGCATCGATTCGAGGGAAGTGTGGGGAGCCACGCATTAAAGGAGTATACGTGCTTGGTGACACATGCTTTCTTGGGGGCGGCTGGGCAGCTGACGGGGGGGAGGGGGCGGAGGGATGGCAGTTGGTACTGGCGGCCCTACACCCTAAACCCTAAACCCTAAACCCTAAACCCTAAACCCTTACATTTTCTGCAGCTAAACCCTAAACCCTAAGCTTAATAGCATCCGGGCCATCCTCCCAACTGCCAAGCGACGGCCCATGAGGCCCAAAAGCTGGACGACGCGATGACGGTGTCTTGCTGTGGAATTCTAAGAGGCTGACGTTTTTGGTCGTCGAGCCAGGCCGTGTTTGCCGAAAGAAATGAGCACATATCCTCCTAAAACTCTTAGATAAGCCGCTGATGCTTCTTCCCGCCGCGAGTACGTGATCGGCCATAGATGGTTTCTGTGTCTTGTGTTAACCCTGGAGGCCGCAGCCAAGGCATACAAGAAGCCCCAACCCCAACGTTGACGATTGCCATGTGTCATCATGTGTGGGTTTGGGGGGGGGTTACACGTACAGCCTGACATTCGGCCTGTCTTTGGAGACGATAGGGTGTTTACCAGTGCTCAGATAAGATTGCAGCCAGAAGGCAGGCATTGCACAACATGCCAGCGGGACAATTTTTCCGTAGAGCAGTCTGGGACCTGTACTTAGTCGTAAAAATCCTCTGAAGAGGTCTTAGCAGTTTAGCACATGGTATGTTAGAAGTTGATGCTGTGCACGTCCTTCCTTCCCGCATTTTCTACAACCCGAAGTTCTGGCATGCCTCCATTTTTTGCAGAGACATGCGGAATCTTCCACTGAGGATGGCTTCGATGGTGGTCGTGAGCTCCAGGCGCTGCCCTGTCTTGACCATGCAGATTACAATGGGAGCGGAGTGCGAGCGCGACTACTTCAACTGCTCTTTCTGCGGTGGCTATTGCGGTAGAGACTGTTTCCTGGTAGCACAATGACAACAGCCACTTGTAGCCTTAAAAGCCACTTGCCTATCCACCATGAACAACAGCTAGCTGACTCGACAAGTATCCTTGCCACATTCTGTCAAGAAGCCGGAGACTGTGTCCACCTGGTCAAAAGACGGAAGCATAGACATCCCGTCGAAGGATCGGGAGAATTCCTGTTCAGCGATAAAGGAAATGAAGACGTTCTTCTGAGGATGTGCCACAGAAGTGGAAAAGTATGCAAATGAAAGTCCACTGAACAACGCTGGCGATTCAAGCATGCGTGATTCAATTCCCTTTGTTCAAACATGGCCGGTTCAATCACTCTCCCCACCCCCCCCCCCTTCCCCACCGCCCCCCCCCCTCCCCCCCCAGATATTTATGGGATCGGGGGCCCCGGATTCAACTTCAATCCGGGTTGATGTTCGCATGATTAGACGACTAGCGCTGCTAGTGCTACTAGTACAACGAGCACTATTACCACCATGACCACCACTACTCGCCGCTGACGCTTACTGTCCTCCGTTTGAGCATGCTTGATCCGCAGTGCCTTGAATTCTTGTGGGTTAGGGTTTAGGATTTAGGGTTCAGGGTTAAACCCGACAAAACCCTGAACCCTGAACCCTAAACCAAACCCTAAACCCTAAACCCTAAACCCTTGAGTTTCTGTTGAAGGCCGCCAGGGCGACGCCTTCAAAGCAGAGAGACATCGACGCCTTCTTGGAAGTGCTTGCAGCTGCTCCCTGAGCATCTTAGGGCTTAGGGCTTAGGGTTTAGGGTTGAGGGTTTAGGGTTTAGGGTTTAGGGTTTAGGGTTTAGGGTTTAGGGTTTGGGGTTTGGGGTTTGGGGTTTGGGGTTTGGGGTTTGGGGTGGGGTCCTTCCAGAGCAAAAGATGCTGTTTTGCCCCCGCCCAAAGTGATGTCAGCCAGCCCGAATGCCGTCTTGCTTTCAGTAATTTCTAGGTTTGCACTTCGACTGCACAAGTGCAATCGAAGCTTGCTACGTTGAAAGTAGCTTGACAGCAGTTGACCTCGTAGTCTTTCTCTCTGCCCCATCCATATCATTCCACGACCAGGTGTCTCACACGGTGATGGTCACTGACAAGGAGGCCCTTGCAATATGGGGGTTTACGAAAATAGGGGACCTCAATGTAGATCCCCAAAGAGTACGATCTCCTCAGGCCATTGGTGTGTACAGGCTAAGACATGCAGAAAAGCCAGGATTCGCACTGGCTTTCAAAAAGTTCGTTGGCAGAGTTTTTGCAGGAACGAGCTGTTTTGGTATCCCCTGCAAGGGTCCTACTCGGCCAAAGAATGCCAGGACCCTCCTTCCTGGTACAGTCATTACAATCCCAAGCTGTGCCCCCCCCGAAGCAGCCCAAAGCGCGGCCCCTTCGCAGGGCGGTGGGCTGCGACTTGGCAGTGGAAAAGTCAGGGCTGCAGGGTTTTCAAGGCATGGGCTGCAATTCTTCAAAGTCACAGGAGACTTATCAGGCTTTGGTGTTGCAGGGTTCATGCAGAAACGTAGTCGGTTGGTCTGGAGAAGTGCTCTTGCTATCGTAGGGGTTTTGGCATGGGCATTTTAGACAGGACCCTTTGAAGATACATCCGGAGTCTACATAAGCTATCGAAGTTCATTGCTGGATGTACAAAACATATGTAAGTACCTCTAAACCCTGAACCCTAAACCCAAAACCCTAAACCCTAAACCCTAATTAAACCCTGAGACTCCCCCAAACTTTGCGGACCGAGGAACTATGAGGCCGAGAGCCCGGACGAGTTCGCCCTGGTGAAGGCCTTCCCAAGCGAAGTCTGGAACTGCCTTGATATGGGTATGTCCCCAACTAGTAGGGGGCTCCCTCTAAGGGGATTCTCTTTTATTTGGGGTTGATATTGGGGGGGTTTCCGAAAACTTGCTTACGCAAGTGCAGCTACAAGCTGCCAGGCATCTCACTGCCGGCTCACTTTCGCTACGCGGGTCCACCAGTGTCTGCATGTCTCTGCTATGCACTGACCCGTTGCGAGTCAAAAGTCCGAAAATAGGGGGTACCCTTTGAAGTGGGGGTCTTTGTAAGGGGATTCTATTCTGTTTGGGGTCTCAAAGGGACTCAAAGGGGTACCCCTATTTTAGGAAATAACCATATGTCCTGACACTGGAGACACTGGCCATTCCAGCGTGGGGAAAACCGTGCAGGACAAAGGCAACAGCAAAGCAACATCAATTCCTTTCTGATGTCTGCAGCTGGAGGCAGCTGCCAGCCAGGGGTGGGAGTTCAAAGGAAGTCACTTGGCTGAAAGTTTCGGACATAGCACGAGAATGCAGGCAGCTCGTTTAACGCCTTGTGAAGACCTGCTGAATAGCTCACAGCTGGCCCAGATTAAGGAAGAACCCCGAGCACCATCCAAGCCCTCTACCCCAAACCTGTACCCAAAATACCCCTTAACTAAGGAAGATTCCTTCAATCATAATAAGCATCCCTTTATCATTTAAGCTTCGGGCTCTCTGGGTAACCTTGAGTCCATGAACCCTGACCCAGGAAGAGGCCAGGACCTCACTGTTAGCTACTACAGCCCATCGCAGCCTCGTCAAGAGCCTTGCTTGCAAGGCTTTTGTCTATGCAGGGAGCTGCATGCCAAAGCACTTCAGACGCTTCGAGTGTGTGCTAATGGGCGGGTGATGCCAACTAACCACGCGACGTCCGCACATGCTTCGTCCATTCTCAAATTTCTCAAGGACTTGCAATATCGGGTCTTGGCCACCAACGCCTTCAACTCGGCGCGGAAGCGCATGTCGGTGGTGGTGCAGAGAGGCCCAGCCTCTTCGAATCGTCAACGCGTGAGCCCGGTTCTGTATGCTCTTCGCTGCCCTAGGTAGCGAGCATCTTCTGCTAGTGAAGGGTGCCGACAACGCCGGAGTCCTGGCAGAGGGCACGGGGCAAAATGCACATGCGTCCTGGGCAACACACCCAAGGAGCCCAATACCCCTTAATGAACGAAGCTTCCTTAAATCATAATCAGGATCCCTTCACAATTTAAGCTATGTTCCTGAACTTAGGGGTATTGGGCTCTCTGCTTCTTTCCCAGGTCATGCTCGAGAGGGCCTCCGCGCCGCACAAGCCGCTGGAGGCGGACTTGACCGAGTTCTCTGAACAAGGCGGAAGATGCCCGAAGAGCCCAATACCCCTTACTAAAGGAGCATAATAAAGATCGCTTTATAAATACCAAAGCTATATATTCCTTAATTAAGGGGAGTTGGGCTCTCTGGATGGAAGCAGAGGTGTTTTGGATGTGCAGATGCAAATGTCGTCGCTTCGAAGCGGTGCACAGGCCTCAGAACGCTTGTCCTCGGCTCCCGTACGCTCCAGCCAACCGAGGCTCGTGCACCGGTTTAGGGTTTAGGGTTTAGGGTTTAGGGTTTAGGGTTTAGGGTTTAGGGTTTAGGGTTCAGGGTTCAGGGTTTAGGGTTCAGGGTTTAGGGTTCAGGGTTTAGGGTTCAGGGTTTAGGGTCTTTGAGTCTTCGGAGTCTCAGCATTTGGGCTGCCACTTGTTTGCCCTCATGTGCAAAGCTCATTCGGGGCACGAGCATCAAACCCTAAACCCTAAACCCTAAACCCTAAACCCTAAACCCTAAACCCTAAACCCTAAACCCTAAACCCTAAACCCTAAACCCTAAACCCTAAACCAAGCATCAAGCTTCAAACACCAGAGTTCGAGTGTGCATCGCGGCGCGCTTTGGTCAATGACATGGAGCGAGGAAGCTCTGCATCGCCTCGATTTGTTTTTCCTGAGTGGAGCTGTTCACTGGGTGCTTGGGAGCTTGGGATGGGTTAGGGTCGTTTATGTGGAGAATTTTTGACGAAACTCCACCTTTGGCTGGTAGACTGGGGCACAGGAGGAAGCCCTGATGTTTATGCGTACGCTTTGCAAGCATCTGTAGAAAGCCCCTCTTAGCTCGACAAAGCTTCAAGAAGTGCTTGTACAGCATGTACCGTAGCACCGGTCATCCCCGGTTGCAGGTCTCCCGGTGGCTCGCGCGTTACGACGAGGTCTGGTCGTTGCGTCGAGGGTTTGAGGGTCGAGGTCATCTTGCTTGCGCAAGCTTGCAGCTGTCGTCGAACTATGCTGCACGAAAAGATACTTGTGAAGATACGGAGCCAAAACCTTCAGCCCCTGTGACCCTGAGCGTCTGAAGGCACAGCGGGCCACGACAGACCGCGACAAGAAGCTCGAGCTGTTTGGCTTCACCATTCAGTCGACAGATCACAGCTTGGTTCTGATCTAGTCTAATCAGCCCAATCTAACTTCGCATGTTATTCTAGCGAGGACCTCAATTGAAATTAAGTCACTCGACCTGTCCTCAATTTCGTCTGGGGGGCAGAGGGAGAGGGAGAAGGGGAAAGAGAGAACGAGAAAGAGCGCACGTGCTACCGGCGCCTTCCAAGCTGTGTCATTCAATGTGACCGTAAACCCTAAACCCTAAACCCTAATCCCGAAACCCTAAACCCTAAACCCTAAACCCTAAACCCTAAACCCTAAACCCTGACGTTTTTTGCAGCCTTTGGCTTAGTCCGACCACAAACAGCCTGATTTCGTTGAAATGGGCTGGCTTTGCTTCCTCAGATCTAGGAGATAAGGTTTTAGGGTTTAGGGTTTAGGGTATAGGGTATAGGGTTTAGGGTTTAGGGTTTAGGGTTTAGGAGATGAAGCTTCGAGCCTCCAGAACACAGGGCACAGACTGAGGGCCCAGCCTGCAAAACCAGCCTGTTTCAATCAAGTAGGGCTGCGTTTGGGAAGATTTCGGCTGCGGGCCTCTAAGGCTCAGAGCTCAGATTCAAGGCTTGGGATACAACCAAATTTCGTCACCACTCTCTCTCTCTCTCTCTCTTTCTCGCTCGCTCGCTCTCTCCCTCCCGTCCATCTCCCTCCACATGCACGAGTCTCAGAATCCCAGAAATAAGCAGAATTAACGTCCCCCCGCGACCTCCGGCGCGACTGCAAGTACCGGAATGAAAGCAGACTCAAATGCCCTGATCTGATTAACCCAATCTGTGGAGTGGGGGGCCGGGAACAACCCTAAACCCGAAACCCTGCCACCCTAAACCCTAAACCCTAAACCCCGGGCTGGAACTCCCGCCACCTCCCTGCTTCCAGTATTCTTCGTGGACAGTGTGTGTCTATTGACAATGTCAAGTAAACCCTAAACCCTAAACCCTAAACCCTAAACCCCAAACCCCAAACCCCAAACCCCAAACCCCAAACCCCAAACCCCTAACCCCTAACCCCTAACCCCTAACCCCTAACCCCTAAACCCTAAACCCTAAACCCTAAACCCTAAACCCTAAACCCTAAACCCTAAACCCTAAACCCTAAACCCTAAACCCTAAACCCTAAACCCTAAACCCTAAACCCAAGCCCCGACGAGCAGAGGCAAGTGGCCGAAGAGATCGAGAAAGATTTGAAGATTCTCGGTGCTACGGCCATTGAAGACAAGCTTCAGGCCTTCCTTGGACTTTGCGTACAAACCCTAAACCCTAAACTCTAAACCCTAAACCCTGACCGATCAAGTACCAGGTACAGGGCAAGGGTGTCAGCAAAATCTGGTCTTCAGGGGCCCCCGTTTTGCATGTCGGCCTGTGGCCACGAAGCTCTTCGCACTTCTTGCGAGGGCGTTTTCACTCCGAAGCCCCGAAGCTGACCCCCTGCTCCCACCCATGCGCGTAGAAGGCTTTGACCACCTCGGCAGCCCGAACCATTTCGAGGGTTTAGGGTTTAGGGTTTAAGGCTTGGAACCCCCCGCCCCATTTTTTTTGGGGAGGATGGGGTGCCGGAGACCATCGAGAACATTCGCCGAGCAGGGATCAAGTGACCTGGCCTGTAGGAGCTGGGGATCGTGAGTTTGGTGCAGCATTTTCAGTTGCACGTGCCGAATGCTTCACTGTTCGTTTGTTCCAATCGCGCTAACAGCTGCGAGCCAGTGCGTCACTGCTGCCCTGAACGCTCGGCGTGCTTGGACATGATGGTTGGCGGTGGTTTTGGGCATGAGTGCGACTCACTGTGACATGACGTGGCATTGCAAGATTCCAAGGATTCTGGCTTATGGCTGAAGGTTTCGGGATGTACTCGTAGGGGTTTAAGATGCATGTAAGGTTGCCATATGAGTTTGCTCTTGCAGGCTAGCTACTAGTTCCATGCATGTCGCTCTGTACCCTGACCCTTTCTCAAAGTCAGGGTTGCAAGCTGGCTTGCGGCAAAACTCGTTCAGCCTTGGGAGGCTTTGGGTCCTCACAGGCGACAAGCTGGAAACGGCGCGGAATATAGGCCCAGCTTTCTGATCGGACGAATTGCATAGGCATAGACATCTCGAGATTTTCTGTGAATGTCTCTCTGTTTACACAGCAGTACGTGGCGCAGCCGGCGTGCCGACCCTCCCGGAAGCCCTAAAGCGCTGAAGCCCTCTCCTGATTCACCGACACCCTATCCACAGCGATACTTCCCCGTACCGTTTGCTTTGCTGAAGCCGCCTGAAGACAGGTTTCAGCACCAGAGTGCTGACTTCTCAGATGGACATCCAAATTCTGGACATAAACTCTGATACTGACGACATTGCGATCAAGCTGGTGCTTCGGCATATAGAAGTAGCATGAGGCAGGAGCTTTCCACTTCAAGATGGTTCTTGCAGCATTTAGGGTTTAGGGTTTAGGGCTTAGGGCTTAGGGCTTTGGGGCTTAGGGCTTAGGGCTTAGGGCTTAGGGTTTCAAGTTGCCAACTCAGACTCAGACAAAGCAGAAGCCGAAGCCAGCAGGCCTCGGGATGTGTCTGTCCTGGTGTCAAAGAAGCATCGAAGAGGCCATTCCTTCCCATTTTCTATGGCAATCTCTGGCGAAGCAAGCAAAACGCTCTGGCTTGCAACTTGTCGCATCCGAGGACGGGCTTCAGCATCGCTGGGGTGCTCTGGAGGAGGGCATGCATGTTCTCATGAGCAAAGGTTTAGGGTTTGGGGTTTAGGGTTTAGGGTTTAGGGTTTAAGGCAGTCCTTGCGTGTACAGCCGGTGGGCATGACAGCGCATGGGCGGGTGCCAAGAGCAAAGCACCTGACTGGCCTAAACCCTGAACCCTAAAAACCTAAACCCTAAACTCTAAACCCTAAACCCTAAACCCTCTCCTGCAGGAATCGAGTGAGGAGGAAGAAGACGAGGACACTGTGAGGTTTGGTGTTGATGTGGACTCTGAACGGCCCCACGCATGCCATTTATAGTTTGGGGAGCTACTGTGGCATCGAGAGAAGGGTCCGAAATCCAAAATGCCCTAAACCCTAAACCCTAAACCCTAAACCCTAAACCCTAGACCCTAAACATTGCAATGTTTTCGAGCCAGCATGACACGCTTGAATTCATTGCAACCCAGTCTTGTGCGGGAAGCCCGATCAGCATGGGCTATGGTTTAGGGTTTAGGGTTTAGGGTCTAGGGTCTAGGGTTTAGTGTTGCTATTATACCCTATAACCCCTTTAAAAGGGCCCTTTATAGGATGGATTATCGGGATTTTAGGGCCTCATAGCCGCTTGAAGAGATTGAGCAGGAGCCTTACTGGCCCAAGACTGGCTGGCTTCAGTCCGATGAGGCCGCAAAGGCCGCCACCTTTTAGACTTTCAAGAACTTCAAGCTGGAGTCGCTCGCAGTCTAGGGCCACCAGTATATTGAGGAGAGAAAGCCAGCCAGAGAGAGGATACAATACCAGCCGATGGATCTGTTGAGGGGAGGAGTGTCTGTGCACAGTTCAATTGGGGGGAGGGTGCCCTTAGCCCTTAGCGTAGTGCGACTCGTTTCTGTGATACAGTGGTGCACTTCTCGATGTTATTTCATTCAACATGCAGTATT